GTACAAATGAACGTTTCAATTTATTTCGATACAAAAATGTACATGGCGTCCGACTTATGGGTGCATATAGATTGACAATAATTAAAAAAAAAACTCTTATTGTTCTCTGTCAAAAAACAGGTGTAAAAAATAACAATAGACTGAGGAAAACATAATTTTTTAGTTACTATTATAGACTACTAACTATATATACTCTTTATTATACTTCTGTGATTGCAATGTAGATAATTATTACTTTATAATGCAAGATGTAACCAACCTCTAAGGGGATCCAATAGCCATAGGATGCTGCGGATATTAATAATAAAAAATTGACCGACATTTGGTGTGTATAAACGTACAGACATAACCAATAACGGTAATCTACAAACTATCCAGGGCCAAGCCTTAGTGATTTTTAGGCGCTGTGAACATAGCAAATCTTTATTTAACTCAAAATATCTAAACAGTAGTCGAACACCGATCTCTAGTATTCAAATCCTTTGGCGACCCGGGATTAACGTCAAAAGAAACGGATGATCGATAAAAACACAAAGATATACTATTATTATACATTTTTTTATAATAATAAATTAATATAGGCATGCCACACAGAAGCAGTGCTTGTCTCAATGCGTTTGGCCATATTGAATTTAATGATTTACCGATAAATAATTTTTAAATAGTCGAAATTCATTAAAACATTTCCCCCCCCGTAAATATTGCTTATACAAAAATCCTTAAAAACAAGCCGCGTACTATCTCCTTAAGTAAATTAGGATGGTCCCTAAAAAGTTTCTTAATACAATAAATATAAGGTATAAAAAACTACAAGGTATTATTTTTAATTTAAAAGATTGTTTCTACGAGTAATATCAATTTTGGTTTATTTAAAAATATTTTCAAGTTTCATTATTTTAATACAATAACGAGACTTAACTTGAAATATTATTTGTATACAGTTTCGAAAGGAAAACTAGACCCAGAGTTTATCGAACGGCTTAACGATGCCATGAACAACATTCTTGGAGTTGGATTAGAAACAGGAAAAATAAAAGACGAAGAAAAAAATGCACGTTTTGGCTTATTCTTCATAATAAAATCAAAATTACTTGAGAAGCTGGAGAAGGGGGAGAAATTAAAAACTGAAGAATATGCAAATATCGACAAAGAAATAAACTTGTTCATTGATATGTTCTTAGGAGAAGTGAAAAATTATTTATAAAACAATTGTATTGATGATTTGTAAATTATATATATATAATACATTATTTTTGTTCGGACGGAGCTTTATTGTTTATTTTTACATACTAAACTGTATGTATATGAAAAATCGTTGTTTATATTTAAAATTTGTCACGTACACTTAAACAAAACACACGGCATATTTCCCGCCAATTGGATTTACTTTATTTGGCCAAAATAAACTTATTTTATTATCTATTGAAGATTTAAGGCCAATTTTAAATGTCGTCCCGTCATCAACAAAGCAAATAGATAAGTCCTTCACATCGTGTATTAAATATAATACTATTCTGTGTAACACGATAAAATAACAACAACAATAAAAAAAAATATTAAAATACAACAAATCACAAAACTAACTATAAAATGGAAAACTTTGCTAGTTAATTATTGGCACTAAGGATAGGTGCCGAAGGTAGAAAAAACTACATAAATACTAATACTACCCGAAATCTCGCGCTACAGAAATATGTGGTGCATTTAAACCACTTTGCTGGGTTATGGTTGTTACTTATTAGTTTTTTTTAATTTTTTTATTAGAAAAATATACAATCTATACACTACAATATTTGTACAATAAGCATATGGTATGATAAATTACCATTAGCAGTGTAGCACTTGATTGAAGAAACCAGTGATGGAACTCCAATGGATGGAAGAGTGGAGATTAGGTTAGCAGGTCTCTAGACCATTTTCTTTTTAGGCGACGGGGTGGGTGTCCATATATGATTTTCTCAAAAAAAATGTTGGCTAACTTTTTTTTCATTAAGGGAGAACCGAAAAAAAGTAAGAAATACACTCATATACCTCATTAAGGATTACGAATTTCAGCTTAAAATATCCGAATATTTTATAATATTGATAATGTCATCATTCGCAGTATTGCAAAATATTGTACTACTTTACTTATTGTAAGTACTATTGTAAATACCATACGAATAAATAAAAAAACTTGAACAATGCACGTGTGAAATATTGTTCTGCTCGTGTATTACAACTTAGATTGTACTTAGACTGAGAGGCCTCTGTCCCTCGGAATTCGCCTTGTTGTGTAGAAGCTAGCCTGATAAATCGGAAAACACAACTTAATAAACCATTGTAATAATAAAACAAGAGTTGCTATTTATTTAGATAACATGTGATTTTTCCAACACTGCTAAGGGGCAATAGCTTTCCCCAGATTTTTTTTTTAGCCGCCCTCTCTTGGGGGGAAATACATGTATTTTCTACGTTCATCCTGCAACTGAAACGGTTTGCTTTTCTTTCATTTTTCCACATAAATAATACACCCAGTATAAAATAATAACCAACTAGTAATTTCATATCTATGTCTAGGTGGTATCTGCCTATTACGGGCATCCGGCTTTCCGGTATTGCGGCACGCTATACATTTTTGAAAAATTAACACATATAGTATAGCTCTAACAAAATATCATTAACCCTTCCTACATAATTTCCAAGCATTTATTTCGCCTTTTGCGGTGTTGATCAGATGTTGTCCTATGACTTAAAAAAAGAAATAACTTGAGAAATTAACGAGTAAAGCATTACCATTATTATTATGGAAAGTATTGTTGTTACCTGTTGACATTGAATTTTGAAAATTTCGTTCGTATTTCATATTTTTTTTTATGTATACAGGGTGATTCATTTTGGGTAAGACACTAGTTTTCTCTGAAAATATTAATATTTTTGAATATTGTTTTTACCTATTGTTTTAGATACACTTTGTACTATATGTTTTAATACTTTGAACATTTTTATCTCTATCCCTTATACGGTAAAAACGGTCCAAGTTCACTTTTTCAAATGACAACGTATAATTTAAATTCCATATATTTGTAGAAAACAATTTTTAAAATATGTTACCGTTTGAAATTTTAATTTTCATCCATCTGTTCGTTAGCTATTAGTTTGTAAAGATATTCCTTTTTCTGCTAAATATTCAAAATTTTCTTCGGTGTCCCAAAGACCGGTGCCCATACAATTCTTATTTATGCTCGCATTGTCCGATAGGCGACTACACCGAAAACCAAACACAATAAAATGTTTTGAGATAATGGTTGATCTTATCTACTAAATTATTATTTTATGTGATGTCTGGTGTAATAAAACTACTTGTTTTTGTTGAACCGAATGAAAATATTAAGAAATATAGTTAAAAATTCAAATCTTTACAAAGTCATAACAAACGAACAATTGGATAAAAATTAAAAAATCAAACACTAACATTTTTTTAAAAATTGTTGTCTATATATTCATGGAATTTAAAACATTTGTTGCCATTTGAAAAAGTGATGTCCTACCCTTTTTTTGTATAAGGGTCGGAGATACAAATTTCCACAGTATTGAAAAATGTAGTACAATGTGTACCTAAAAGTATAGGAATTTTTTTTTTTTTGAAATGTTCATATTTTCCGAAAAATTAGTAAAAAGACACCCAAAAGGAATCACCCTGTACACTCGATCGCATAAGATACCCAAGTCGTATTTTGTAATTCGTTTTTTTTTGTCAAGCAGAGCTAGTGAAAACATTTGGGCATTGTGTACACTGCACGACCTAGAACCCCCCTCCCCTCCCTTTCATTTAATAGGAGCCGATAGGTAGTTTTTTAGGAAAATATTCTAAAGGGGCACCTGGAAGGTATAAAAACAATTTTCAATATTCGAGAAAAAAACCGTAGGTATATATTTTTATCGAACTGTTAGTCTTTATATTATCACAACGAATCGACAACAGTACAACAACAGTATGCGATTTTGTTTTTTTTTCCGGTAAGAAAAAACCAAACGGCGAATAACAATAGAGTGGCTCTTGCAATGAGAATTTATGCTTAAAACTATATTTTTAGTATTAGGGTGGACGTGAGATTAGGGTTGGTCTTCTGTCTATAATGAGCTGTAGTCGTTTATTCCCCAAATTATATATTGCAGTAATTGTTAATTAGTAACAATAAATGAAAATTGTTTTTTAGATACCCGTTGACGGTGCAGTTGAATACAGGGCGTTGAGAAAATCTTATGTTATGATATAGCCCCACCTTAGTTTCTTATCCTAATCTCCCCTCTAAAACGGTGGTAGTACTTATGCGTATATATATAACCGTGCTCGAGGAGTGTAAGTTATCATAAAAGTATTTAGTTTCCATTTATGTCTCATTAGCTGCAAATATTACATGCGATATCAATTTACTCTATATTTCGTGTAACGGCGTTCGTGCATTACGCACGCATCAATTAAATTATATTGATAAAAACAGAATTTGTTTAAATATAAAAAAAAAAAAATGTTATATTTATTAATCGATAGAATATAATATAAACTATCTCTTCCTTATAGTAAGGTGAAAACACCGCTGATCTAAGATGGAGAACGTTTCATCGTACATGCTATAATAACTGTATAATATATATATATATTAATATATTTGTTTATTGTATTTGGCAATTGTAACAAATGGTACAATTATTTTCATGTCCGTGTACAGAATATTTTAACCAGAGGCCCAAATTTATGTTTACTCTGAATTTTATTTCTATAAAATACGCTAGTATATTACTACAAACGATAAAGTGTGCAAAAAACACATATAAAGTAAACATATTTTTTTGGTCATACTTGCTTTGAGTTCGCATCGATTTGAAAAAAAACGTTGAATTATTATGTGTAAAACACACAACTATTTTCATTTTTTTAAGGTCTTATTTTTTAAGTTTCGCATCGACGTGAACAATAAATAAGTAATTGCAAATATGTTCAGGAACAAGCCACAAAACGAATCACTTTAAAACGGCTGTTTTAACATACTAGTTCACACGAGTTAAACCAGAATTTCAAAGGTTGTAAGTAATTAATGCATTTTTATAAAGTTTTTCTTATTTGCGATAAACTTTTAAACACTAGGATAATTTCATTAATAATAAAGTACAGAAATTGTACACCGTTTTGTATTGATCAAAAAATCGAACCTAAAATTTGCCACATTTGGCCCAATATCTAAAAAGTTTCATTCAAAATCAGGAAAAATAATCAAAAAGTGTGTATTTGATTAAACTTTTTTATTAATTTTTTATTTTTTACATACTGCATCGAGGACTAGGGGTGTTACTGCATATTTGTGCATCATTTGATGGTTTAATTTCAATTACATACTATTAATAGTTACAAAAAGAGCGGGCTCTTCCCGCTAATTTTGGCCTTCGGCCTACATTTTATATTTAAATTTAGCTGTATAATATTTCCTTTTTTTTTCTCCTTCTTTCTTCATCATGACTTCTGTTATAAATTTCGTGCAATTTTCCCATGTTTTCCTGTTGCTCAGCATTTTTTCTACAATGTTGTCCGCCGTTATGTCTCCTTCCATTGTTGTCTTCAGTTGTCTCCTTCTCTGCTCCCAGGCGTCACATTCAAACACCGTGTGGAGGGCATCGTCACAACTGTTCTGACAATACCAGCACTCTGGAGACTGCAACTTTCTGAAGCTATACAAATATTCACCGAAGCATCTATGTCCACTTATGGCTTGGGTGAGGTGGAAGTTTGTCTGACCATGTTCCTGTTCAACCATTCTTTCAGGTTCGGGATCAGTCTTCTCGTCCAACTACCCTTGAGTCCTACGTCCCACCTTCTCTGTCTATCTTCTATCGTTTTTCTTTTAGCCTCTTCTTGGGCAGCTTTCTTGTCCCCTCCTGCTCTGGTTTGATCATATATAAATTTTCTTCTTTTGTACTCCTATCATCAGATTTTTTGAAGCCTGGTCGACTATTTCCATTAGTCTCCTAGTGGCGTCCGTGGTAGATCTCTTTTTCCTAAATCCATATTGATTTTCCGTTAATCTTCCGCTACTGTCCAGGAATTCTCTTATTCTACTATCTATGATCTTTTCTAGTAGCTTACCGGCTGTGTTAAGCATGCATATTGGGCGGAATATGTTAAATAATATTTTATAAAATGTTTAAAAACCATTTGAATTCTTCACAACATTTTCAAGGCATCGGTCGTGGCACAATTTTAAAATTATTTTTAGTTAATATGTCCATTTTTTATTATTATTTGATTGGCGCTCTATAAATATCAATATTTTAAAAACAGTTTAAATAACTCCCAATTTGTATGAAATATTCTTTAGATAGTTTTCAATAAAAAAGATATTGCTCTGGATTATGTGCTCTGGCACATAACCGAAAAAAGTGTTATCAAAAAAGCGTTACGCTGTTATCTGATAAGAGATATGTTGTACGTTCAAATTAGAACTAAATGGTACATTCCTAAAATCCCTGACACTGCACCTAAAAATTGGAAATAAGATGTGATTTTTTTGCCAACTTAAAGCCCCAAAAAGTACCTCGGGCGTACGTTTTCTGTTTGACAGCCCGTCTATATGAATAAATCGGTTTAGAGAACTGCTCATGGCCTGATCCTCCTTTTGGTCGTTATCTCCAGCTCCGTTGAAGTTGGACATGACTGTACAAGTTTAATAATATTTAAACAATTAGTTACTATAACAAATAACAATATAACAATTTTAACAAGACGAGTAGTCAAATATAGGTTGTTTGTTATAATATAAGCGCGAAGCTTAGTGTTGACAACGACGAAAAATTGTTTGTCATATTTATTGATGTTTATTTAAAAGCTGTTTAGATTTTAAATTAGAACCCCCCCAAAAAAAATATTGTAGTTGTCTACATTCGGTGTGCACTGGACAGTAATATTTAGTATAAATGAATTTTACTTTGGATTTCTGGAAAAATTTCCTATTAAGTTATAGTCCTATTTTTCGTCTACTTTAAGCTCTTAAAAAATGTGAAAAAAAGACAAGCTTTATTTTTCGCCGAGTATCTTACTAATACATTTAAAACACAGCAAGACATCAATGACTCGATGGATAGCTGGTACTTTTTGATACCAGGACGTTTTTTGAAATAACAAAAATAGTATAAAACTTAATTTTATATTTAAGAAACCGTGTAGCACCATGTTCCATTGACAGCATGCACACCTTACAAATGTACACTACACCGTCTACCACTAAGGATACAATTATTGTAGGTATTGATAAAGATAATATTTTATATAAGAAAGGACATTCACACGATTCATCAAATCAAACATATTTTATTAGTACAATTGCACTATTTTACAAGTACAGTAGATTTAACATATAAATTGAAATAAGGATAATATAAGTTTTGAAAATTTTACATTTAACTAAATAACCTTAATAATAACATTATATAATCTGATATCCACAAAAATAGTTGTAAATTATTCAAAACGATTAATATATCATTATAAATAGAGATATAATTCATTTAAAAACTTTTAAATTAATATTTATGAAAAACAAAAGAAGGTGTTTTAACAAAAGTGTCAATTACATCGAGGGAAGTTATTAATATTTTTTGGAAAATAATTTTTTTAAATTCTAAATCGAGTATTCTCGGTAAATGAAACATATTCAAAATGTTTTTATTACATGACTTATATTTTTTCAATTGGTCGAGTCCAAAAACAACAAAATACGAAAGTCATAGCCGTTGATAGACTTTATGTAAGATTGATACAAATCAAATTCAAGAGAATCGCCAAAGTACAGTTGAATCTCACCAAGAACTGTTCTTACTTTACCCGACGATTGCTGATGAACCGCTTGTTGTGACGTACACATATGTTCTAATATTGAAATATCCAAAGCATTGCATAACGTTTGATGTTCATCTTTGATTTTTCCATACATAGTGTCTGCGTTTTGTTTAAAATGATCTGCACCTTTTGTTAAGACACTATTGAGTTCGGAGAAGATGTCGTCATCGTTTAAGTGTAACGCGTTAATAACGTCTGGTAAAACCGATTGAAAATCTTCAATGTAAACATCAATGTTTTTTTCTGTGTAAAATTCACTAGCTCGGTTTGGCTCTGGGTGTATCACACAATGTACTTGCGCTATGAATTCCCACGTGAGTTGTAACAACATGAATCTAAATGTGTCCATAATCATGTTATTAAGTTTTCTAAACATGAGTAATCCTCCCAACCCGTTTGTTTTAGGAAACCCTAAATAATAATTCATCGATCGATTCAATATAACGCAAGTGTTGCTATCCAAAAGCGAAGGTGAATACGATTGAAATCTGGTACGAAACTGAATGTACTTTTCGTCAATCGCCTTTCTTAAATAAGTTTCGTCGATATTTGCGTTGATATATCTGTCGAGTCCTTTTTCCAGATTACGCTCGTGTAAATCGTTTAGCGTTTTTTTATTATCGAGTATGCAACCAAGTGCACGAGAACTAGAATATTTACCGTTAAACGGATCCCGTTCAACGCCTGCTGCTTTTTTGAAATTACTGTCACGGTAACATATTGTCTCGAGATATTTGTCGAGTTCAGTAATAACAAAACGATTTTGATCCATCAAATGTTTCCGAACACTATTTGGCGTGGTCGGAGATAAATGGCAGTAGTTGTTCATGGCGAATGAGTGATGGTAAACTAACCATGCTACAGACATTTTTTGTCTTTTTTCATCGAAAAATAGCCTAACCATTGTCACGGATTCTTTTAAGAAGCAAGTCGAACCGTTCGATATTGAAGAATCGTTACTTCGAAACATTTTGTCGACTATTGAAAAATGGAAACGGGCGCTCCAGAGATGACTGCATTTAAGTTGGTCGAATCTGTTAGATATGTTTTCCCTTAGTTGTTGGCTGGATAAATTAGAGAAATTGGATCCCAACGCGTCGGTCTTGAAGCCAGTGTTAAACGAACTTACTTGCTTCCACTGTGCTACTAGATCTCCGTGCTCGTCGCACAACAGCGGCTCGTGTTGGACCATGATAATGTTTATAAATAGGACACAACATTTTGTGAAAATCATTTTAGCAATGCCGTTTTCCAATATAGCACAAGCCAATTAATGTTGAACACAATAAACTGATGCAAAAATATGTAGAACGAGCGACGTTCAAGTACAAGAAAACTATGCAGTGAATGTTTTTCTGCGGTGGATAGAATGCAAAAAACTTGTAGACCACGTCTTAACATTTTTCTAAATCAAATATTATCGTGTTTTGTACAGTCATTTGTCTTTCCTATGACGTCAATCAAATGTGTTTTTTGTTTTCGGTTTCGATGCGCGATAAAAAATATTTACTATCGGTCGGTTTTACGGTGTATTATTTTTCCTTGCTGTTGTTTTTAACAGCTAAACCGATATGTTCGCAACACGTGTTACCGTAAGTTGCAAAAATACCAATAATTTCTCCTTGAAAATCGGTCGAAACTCACTAGAAAATAAATAGTGTGTTTAAACGTAAAACTATGGGTGGCTCTATTGACTTTTTCACATTTTCCACGGTTAGGGTTAAAGCTTTTTATGATTTTTACTTTGGGGATGGGGAGGGGCTTAGTTTGTATCTACTAGTAACAAATAGGAATGACCTATCTAAAATTATTATTTATCCAATTGAATAAACTACACTAATAAGTGTTTATTTATATAATTTTAACCATTGTCACGGATTCTTTTAAGAATAAAACCAAATGGCTTTTTAGTAGAGGAAACCTAACCTAACCTAACCTAGAGGATGTATGGCTGGAAATGTTTTGATGAAAAATGAAAATGTGCGCTGAAAAGATAACCGCATTTAAGTTGGCCATATTTAGTTGGCCTTTTTCATTCAGTTGAATTTTTTTTTTTATAATCAAATGTATTTATCATTAGTAATTGTAATTCTTGCTTATTCCTTAAGTAATACAACAAACAATTATTATCTGTGATTATTAATATTATTTTCAAATGATAATCCAATACTTTGAGCACCGTGGGAGACAAATCGAAATCGAATTCAGTTATTTATAATGATATTTATTTGTCCTTATGCGAAAACGTGTAAGAGTGTTTTTTTTGTGCACTCACAAAGCAGCGGTCACAATAAAAAAAAATAATATACAACGTTTAATCCGAACAAAATAAACTTAATAGAGTGACCGTTTTTTCTCTACAAATAAAATGTATACAGAGTGATTCATTAAGGATAAGACACATCCAATATATAATATTATTGTGAATGATATTGAATAAACATGTTACATTTCTTACACAGAATGAATGTTTTTTTTTTATTAATTAGATATATTCAACTTTCAATTTTAAAATTTGGGCCCTTAAACTACTCGTATTTTCAATTTATCATTTAGTTCTAATTTGAGCGTTGAACGTACAACATATCTCTTATCAGATAACAGCGTAACGCTTTTTTGGTAACACTTTTTTCGGTTATGTGCCAGAGCTATCTCCTACCTCCTATCTCTCACTCCCTATCTCCCACCCCTATCTCCTACCTCCTTTCTCCTACCCCAGCGAAGCTGAGAAGATTTTTTTTTTCAACGATGTGTTTTTGTTAATTTAAAAAAAAAAAAAAAGTTCGACCCTTCTCCTTCAAAATCAAGAAAACACTCTAACGTTAAAAGTACGGAGCTCTATAACTTTTTTTTTTTAAATAATCAAATTAATTCCAAATTTGTGTGGATTAATTTATTTTATTTTATCGATTTTATCTGAGAAGTATCTC